GGGTTTAGGGTTTAGGGCTTCTGTTTAATGAGGGTTTAGGGTTTAGGGGTTTAGGGCTTAGGGTTTCTGTTAATGAGGGTTTAGGGGTTTAGGGCTTATGGTTTCTTTTTAATGAGGGTTTAGGGTTTAGGGGTGTAGGGTTTAGGGTTTCTTGTTAATGAGGGTTTAGGGTTTAGGGGTTTAGGGCTTAGGGGTTCTTTTTAATGAGGGTTTAGGGTTTGGGGTTTAGGGGTTTAGGGTTTCTTTTAATCTGGGTTTCGGGCTTAGGGGTTTAGGGCTCAAGAGCGAACTTTTGATCTGAACTGTCACACCTACAGAGGCTCATACAAAGAGAACCTTCAGAACTGTAAAAACCCTATAAACTCTAATTAGACCCTAAATCCTAAACCCTAAACCCTTAAAACATAAACCCAACCCCTCAACCCCTAAACCCTAAAGCCTGATTGAAGGAAACCCTAAACCCAACACCCCTAAACCCTAAACCCTCATTAATAGAAACCCTAAACCCTAAACCCCTAAACCCTAAACCCTCATTAAAACCCTAAACCCTAAACCCCTGAACCTTAAGCCCCAGGTTCTCCCACCAAGGCCCGCCAGCAAAACTCACATTCCGGGTCATGGTGTCCACGGCCCGAAGCGCACTTCGAGCATCGCAACTTGTACTCAAGTAGCTGACAACTGAGGGAAAGAGGTCGAAGGAAAAGCCCAGCATCTCTGATGGCTGCATTTGCTGCTTCGTCGATAAAGATGTCGTCGATCTCGGCATCCCCGAGAGGAAGGGGTCGGACCTGCTGCGGCTCCAGATAGCGGCATGGGTGCGCCCAAGCCAAGCAGCCGCTGCTCCTTGCGGTGCACGGCTCGAAGCGAAAGGTCTTCTGGAGCTGCCTTGCACCGGCGCTTGTTTTGCAGCTCCTGGGCACTTGACAACTCTGCTTGCAGTGCTTTGATTTGCCCATGGTTTTTCTCCGTGGGCAATTGCGCACTTGCCCTAAACTCTGCACGAGGGAGCTTCCTGGTGTCATCCAAGACTTCGATGAGCGACAGTCTCATCTGGCCTTCGAGCTGTTTTTCTGCGCATCCGAAAGCCTCATTAAAAGAAACCCTAAACCCTAAACCCCTAAACCTAAGCCCTAAGCCCTCATTAAAAGAAAACCTAGACCCTTGAACCCTAAACCCTAATTAAAAGAAACCCTGAACCCTAAACCCCTAAGCCCTAAAACCTTATTAAAAGAAACCCTACAGTAAACCCTAAACCCCTAAAACCTAAACCCTCATTGAGAGAGACCTTAAACTCTTCAAGCCCTCAGCACTAAGCCCTCAATAAAAGAAACCTTAAACCCTAAACCCCTAAACCCTCAAAATAGTATAGTATAGGTAATTATTTAGGCTTCTATATTACCTTCATAACCTTGAACCCTAAACTCCTAACCCTCAACCCCTTAAACCCCATACCCTCAACCCTCACACCCTCAACCCTAAACCCCATACCCTCAACCCTAGACCTCATACCCTCAACCCTAAACCCCATACACTCGACACTCAACCCTAAACCCCATACCCTCAACCCTAGACCCCATACCCTCAACCCTAACCACCATACCCTCAACCCTAAACCGCCATACCCTCAACCCTAAACTCCTAAACCCCATACCCTCAACCCTAAACCCCATACCCTAAACCCCATACCTTCAACCCTAAACCCCTAAACCCCATACCCTAAATGCCCCATACCCTCAACCCTAAACCCCTAAACCCCTAAACCCCATACCCAAAACCCTCAACCCCATACCCTCAACCCTAAACCCCTAAGCCCCATACCCTAAACCCCTAGACTCTAAACCCTCATTAAAAAAGACCCTAAACCCCTAAACCCTAAACCCCCATTAAAAAAGACCCTAAACCCCTAAACCCTGAACCCACATACCCCTAAGCCCCAAAGAGACCCTAAACCCCTAAACCCCAAACCCTCATTAAAAGAGACCCTAAACCCCTATAAACCCTAAACCCTCATTAAAAGAGACCCTAAACCCCTAAACCCCATACCCTCAACCTCAAACCCCCCTATAAACCCCATACCCCTAAGCCCCAAAGAGACCCTAAACCCCTATAAACCCTAAACTCTAAACCCTAAACCCTAAACCCTAAAGGCGGAGCCCCGCGAGGTCCTGGTTGTACAGCGCGAGACCCTGGCTCCCGGGATCCGGGCGCAAAGACGTCAAACCCTGGCGACAGAGTGGAAGGTAGAATTCATGATTCATAAGGGTTGGGGTTTAGGGTTCAGGGTTTAGGGTTTAAGGTTTAGGGTTAGGCCTGATAAGGTCTTGTATGGCTACTTGAAGGGTCATTCTGAAGGTTTTCCAGGCTTTTAAACGAATTTGTGATGCGATTTTAGAGTTTTGCACGGGTTACCCACGAAAAGCAGTGCTGTCTGCTCTCCTCTGCGGCTCACTCGAGCTAAGCCTAGTCGTCCCTCTTTACATTTGGGGTCAGCTTGCTAGCAAGTTAAATGGCTAGGACAACTTCTCCATCGTCATACGGACGTACGGGTTTTCATCTATGATCTTGGAGAAATCTCAAATTGCACCTCTAGCTCCAGCCTGGTTTAGGGTTTAGGGGTTTAGGGGTTTAGGGTTTAGGAGCTTAGGGGTTTAGGGTTTAGCTGTTCACTGAACATGGGCTTCGCGTCGGCCGAGCTGAGGTCGGCTTCGATCGAAGCATCTGCCATAAAAAAGGGGCCTGAATTATTTCAATAGGGTTTTGGGGCCCATTCTACTATAAGTAGAAGAAGGACCCCCCCCCCCCTAAAAATAGTAGTGGTAATTATTGAGGCCGCTACAGTTATCTCTGTCAGTGGGACCGATCTCCCGATTGCCTACACCGTAGTAGCTGACTGCTCGTTGTTCGCATAGGCGCCAAAATTTCCGCCAGAGGGGCTATAAGGGTTAGGGGTTAGGGTTTAGGGTTTAGGATTTCTTTTTGCGATCCAGAAAGCTTGAGGCTGTGTCTTCGGACCAGGATCGGCATGCAACAGGAAGCAATTGGGTTCTGTGGGGTTTAGGATGCAAAATGTCAAAAACGGACTTTCGATGCGGTACCCTGCTGTACCAATACTGTAGTATAACATGAGATTCCATATGCAAGGCTTTTTTCAGTAGGTACTAGGCACCCAACCTATGCTAGAACTTGACGAAATCCGACCGGGCCAGTGCTAGCTCGTGATCTACAGAAGCATCACTTCACTGCCAATAAACGTGGCCATATCAACTAGAACAAGGATAAGTGGTATGTTACGTTATATTCATATTGGGACTAGCAAGAGCATAGAACTGAGTGTAGGAACATTGGTATCCCCAATCTTGGCGCCTAGAACTGTCGGAAAAGCAGCATAATACGGCTGATGATAGAAATCCTGCATTGCCCAGAATAAGGAATATACCATAATTTCCATAGTTTAGGGTCCTTAAGGTAATGCCGGATTTATATCATCAACCGCACCTCCCGTTTCCCACGCTCCAACTTTAATGCCTCTGCTGTATCCGAGGCCCTGTAGATTAAGACTCCCAGCCCTGAACCCAGGGCTCCAAACATGAGATAGGATGTAGCTAGGTTTTAGGTTTTAGGGTTTAGGGTTTAGGGTTTAGGATCCTGAATGACTAGAAACCATAAACCCGAAACTTTCAACCGTCGCGCGCCCCCTGGCCCTTGACGTCCTCACTGCTGCATCGACTAATGCCTCAACTCTGTGTAGGGGTTTCGGGTTCAACATGTAAGTCCCTGAGTAGCCCCTTAACAACCAGGGTACCCTTTTTCCTACTTTTTGGTTCAAAAAAAAGGAACCCAAGGAAAGACAAAGGGCAAAAGGAAGGGTAGTACCCTAAACCCCTGAACCCTAAACCCTAAACCCTAAGTTACTAAACCCTAAACCCTAAATTCAGAAAACGTAGGTATTCATTGCTTGGCCTTGGACGAGGCCGCCAGAACCGTCACGCGAGGAGGCCTCGAAGAATGCTACGAGGAAGCGGAGGCCCGAAGAAAAAAAACTAGGGTTTAGGGGTTTTGGGCTTTGGGGGTTTAGGGTTTAGGGGTTTTGGGTTTAGGGTTCTAGATTAGGGTTTAGGGGTTTAGGGTTTAGGGTTTAGGCTAAGGGATTTAGGGGTTTTGGGCTTTAGGGGTTTAGGGTTTAGGGGTTTGGGGCTTTAGGGGTTTAAGGTTTCGGGGTTTTTGGGTTGAGGCTCAGGGATTGGGGCATCTCGTTTATATGAAGGGGCTACGTAAGGTTTAGGGTATAGAGAGGGTTTCGGGCTTAAAGGAAGGGGTTACGTAGGGTTTATGGTTTAGAGAGGGTTTCGGGCTTGTATGAAGGGGTTACGTAGGGTTTAGGGTTTAGAGAGGGTTTAGAGCTTATATGAAGGGGTTGCGTAGGGTTTAGGGTTTAGAGAGGGCTTATGGCTTATATGAAGGGTTACGTGGGGTTTAGGGTTTAGAGAGGGTTTCGGGTGCATGTGAAGGGGTCACGTAGGGTTTAGGGTTTAGAGAGGGTTTCGGGTTTATATGCAGGGGTTACGCAGGGTTTAGGGTTTAGAAAGGGTTTCGGGTTTTTCGGGGGCCCGGAGCTCAGGGTTCGGGTTGTTAAAACCCTACCAGCCCAGGAAGAATCTGAGCTTATGGTATATCATCATCATAACTCATAACCACTCTCGGCAGCAATGCCACTGGAACCGCCGCATTGTCATCACCGTGACTGGCCATCATAAACAAGACCGTCACTGTCATCAGCATCACCATCCACATCCTCCTCATCATCCTATCATCAGCCTCATCATAATCCTTATCATAGTCACCACCATATCCCTCATCATCACCATCGGTTTTCGGCGCAGCAGCCAGCCCCAAAATATCACGAATTATCAAACACAGGACCATGGCTGTCACAATCAAAGTTGCTGCATAAACCATCAACATTCACAAGCAGCAAACCTAGCATCACCCCAAGGACAATCTGCACGGGCTTGAATGCCATCTTCACCATCACCGGCGACACAGGTCGGCATTAGCTTTTGCACCGGTCCTGATGAAGGCTGTTTGAGAAAGTAAGGGTTCAGTGCTGAGGTTGCCAGGGGTACCACCAAGGGGCTCAGCGGGCTTAAAGGTTGCTCATAGCTGCACATGGAGTTACTCCCTTTGGCAAACCCAGAACGGGAAGCACATCAACCATATTCGTACTTTTGCACTAGCAAGGCATAACTGACGTTTACCGTTGTTGCAACCTTTTGCTGCTGTTTTACCGCTGCTATGTGTGCTGCTGCTATTAATTGTTATCTAGGTTTCGGTGCGGGCTTCTTTTTCTTCTGACACTCTCCAAGCGGGCTTTTGATTTGGACCCCTGCCCGCTGCAAGGGACATAGATAAATGCTAACATTATGATGACGACTGTAATGGTGATTACGGCGTGACCAACCCTGAACCTTAAGATTAAGCTTGAACGGCTAAAACCATTGCTTCTCATTGCTGTTATTATGCATCGCTAATGCTTGTATGATTAAAAAAGCTGACGGGATGACGATGATGCCGGACACGCAGGCGATTCTGGAGAAAGAGATGTTGTGATGGATGAGATGATGCTTTTGGTGATGGTGCTGGCGATGCTGCTGTTCGATAACGATGATGATGATGATGATGATGATGATGACGATGGTGATGATGATGATGATGACCATGATCGTGATCATGATCATGATCATGATGGTGATGGCGATTGTGATGATGATGATGATGATGATGATGATGCGGACGACACTTGTGTTAGTCAATATGCTATAACTAAACACCGCTACTTCAAGTAGGGGAGAATGGTCGTGATGAAGGTGATGATGAAGATGATAAAGGTCCCAGAATACGCACATTATACTATCAGTATCATTTCCAACCACTCATTGATGGGCCTTGCAAGGGCTTTGGATCGGTTTGAAAGGTTAGTTTGGAACCGCTCTCTGCACCCGTGTGGAGTTTAAGAGCTGGGATTTAAGGCTCAGCGCCTCGAACACCAGCACCCCACTTGCACGGAAGGCGACCAGGGCTGGGGCCAGACGGTCCAGAAGGCTGGGGTCTGATTGCACTGGTGACCTTCCGTATGCCAAATCTTCGGACTCAGAGTTTCGTCAGGGTGGTGGTGGTGGTGGTGGTGGCGGTAGCGGTGGTGGTGGTGGTGGTGGTGGTGGTGGTGGTGGTGGTGGTGGTGGTGGTGGCGCTGGTGGTGGTGCTGGTGGTGGTGGTGGTGGCGGCAGCGGTAGTGGTAGTTGTGGTGGTGGTCGTGG